TGGATCACGCATGTCCCAAGAGCCTGCTCCTCAACCGCACTTATCAATTTTTCGCAATCGATCGAAATGAAAACGAAACGAAAAGGTAAGCAAAAAGAATAGAACGGCGTTAAACAATAGTGAGCGTTTGATGCCACGTGGTTGACAGTTGAAGTGGAAGTAACCATCGGCCGAATACGACTGGTAAATCCAACTTTATTTGGATCGGAAAGTGCTTCGGCCGTACACGGCCCAACACGACCGAACGAATTGGTTCTGATGGACGCGTGCTCATTCGTTTCTTCGCTTTTGGATCATCCGGCCCTATTCGGCCGTGCAACGGCCGAGCAAGTTCGGCCGAAAACGGCTCCAGTGGACGGCCTACCTTATAGTCTGAAGGTATAAGGTCACGAGTTAGGGTGCGGTAGATTCTTCAACAATCATGGAAAAAGCATTGTCTTCATTCACAAAACCGTGTCTAACATCTCCTCGCTTTGTTCATTTAAATGTTATAGCTCATCCATGGCCAGGTATTTTTTTCTTTGAACGTTTTTAACAAAAAATTCTACCCTCGGAAAAGGTCGCAGTCTGAGGGAGGTCAATGCTAAAAGATTGGTCCTGCTGATGATTCAGCTGACATATGTCTTCCCAATTTTTCGGTATTGCGATCACAATACGTATTACCCCAGTGATGTAGTAGTCATTTACATGAAAAAAGCATACAAAATCAGCTTCTGAGAATGTTGATTCTAGTTTTAAGATGTGAATCCATTCTAACACATGAATGTAGGGAAAAACTGTCATGGTGTAAAATATGATGACAGTCTTCCCACAAAGTTGACGTTACAAATAGGTCTACCACGTATCGTGAATGTTTATTAAAATATAATGTACCTTTCGAAGAAGAGAAGTGGCATCTGCTCAAAAGCGATTGTAGACTGATGGAGCAAGGTCAGGTCAAATTAACGCGGTGGAAGCTCGATTCCATCCAGTCGGATTTTTTTCTTCTTCGTATATAAACCGTACCATCATACCGTATATACGGAAAGTATGAACTACCTTCATTTCAATGTGTATTTCATATCGTTTGACACTTGGTAAAACAATGAAACCTTTTTGTTCAGCCGGGTTGTCTAAGTTCGAGCCATTCGTGGCAATCTATGTGATGCAGTGGTTTTTTTTATAGCTTTATTAATACAACTAAAAGGTGTTTTAACGGCTGTGGTTATTTCACCACAGTACCATTAACTTTTATATTCATTAAAGGCGGCTATATATTTTGAACACTTGCCTAGGACCTTAAAATACCGTAGATAGTATAGTCTTAAGGGAAATTTTTTTTATTTTTAGTTTATCGTTTTTTTTCTGTTTACTCTTGATAATAAAGAAATTGGCGACAACTGCTTACAGAGTTGCCCAGGTTGAAAGTTTTCACCCGAGGGGCAGCCGCTTCGCGTGCACAAGACGCCTACGCTATTAATATTGCGTTACGCCTTCATCAGTGAGGTTCGTGCTGGCTGATGGACGTATAAATTTCCGGCGAATTGTGTACCGACTTGTATGAGTATTGATTCGGCTAATGTTCAAACGCGTCACGAGTGAAATAATTTGTTTTCCTATGGGAGAAAAAGGGGAGAAGTTACCGGATCAATTCCATTGATAAATTTAGCCCCTCGTTATCAATTTGAAAGAGTGTGAAGCAATTGTGTTTTGACCGCAGAAAAATAATCTCCTATTTGTACCTTTTTGGCGAAATCATCTTGAAGGGATAAATAGAAAAATAGACTTTTTCTCTTTTAGAGTCAATTGTCCCAAAGCGGCAGTCTACACTAGAACTGTTTACTCTGTTGAAGAGGCGGGAAGTTTTTCTTTTCCTATTCTATCGGTAGTCCAATTGTTAGTTTTATAGTTGGGCGGAAGAACGTTAACGGCAGTCTTCGCAACGATCCGAGTTTCTCTGAAGGGGCCGAGAATTAGAAAAACTTTTCATAGCCCAAAGGTAAACTGTTGTGATCCCAATGCTACTTGTTATCCCGGTGGTAGAAAAGGTTTCTTTCTTAGCGGGGTTTTCGGGATAAAAGCCAAATTCTCATCTATGTCAGTGTGATGTGCTTATTAAAAAATATGATAGCTTTTAAACCGATGGTGTTTCTTAAATGAATGTGCGAGTATTTACCTTGCTCCTTCATTAGCACCTCTGAGTTTTGATTCGAAGGTGTTTCTTAAATTAATTTACGAGTCCTAACCTTAGCGCCCATGTACATTTCCACAAACCTGACCATAAAAAAAAAAACGTGGATACAATACAGCTTCCAAATATTTCGATAAAACTCCGATGAGTGTAATTCCGATGTCGATATGTAAAAATAATCGTTTTCATATACCGATGGTTGAAAACAACGATGTTTTTGATAAAATATCCGAGAACATAATTGTATCAAAGTAACAGATAAAATATCGGTACGACTGTACTTATGTATAGACGTATTTCATAAAATATCTGTACTCTTGTATACAGGGTGAGTCATTTTTTGACGCACAATTGGAAAATCAACGTGGGTGCGTTTAAATCTGACTCAAGGCCTATTTCTTTTGATTTTAACATTAAAAAAAGGAAGTGAGTCAATTTTCGGTGCACCACAGGAAAATCAACGTTGGCACATTTTATTTTGTTACTTTCGTACCAAAATATAGGCGAGTCACTTTTCGACCCACCATTCGTTACAAATTAGTTTTAGTAGGTTGGAAGGAAAATAAACAAAAATTATTCAAACACAATGTAAAAATTTAAAAAAAAATTCTTCACAAATTAATTTGATTAAGGTTTAAGAGTATTTTTTTCTGGTATAGTAAAACAATTAAATAAATGTAATAATCCCCTTTTTTCTGGTAAAGTAAAAAAATTAAATAAATGTAACAATCTCCTTTTTTCTGGTGAAGTAAAAAAAAAATTAAATAAATGTAACAATCCCCTTATTTCTGGTGAAGTAAAACAATTAAATAAGTGTAACAATCCCCGTTTTTCTGGTGAAATAAGACGATTAAATAAATGTAACAATCTCCTTTTTTCTCGTAAAGTAAAAAAATTAAATCAACGTAACAATCTCCTTTTTTCTGATAAAGAAAAAAAATTAAATAAATGTAACAATCTCTTTTTTTCCGGTAAAGTAAAAAAAAAAAAAAGTAACAATCTCCTTTTTTCTGGTGAAGTAAAAAAATTAAATAAATGTAACATCTCCTTTGTTTGCAAACCAAAAATGTTCAAAATCATTATAATAATTGTTCGACAGACCTCCATTTGATGCAACACAGTAGCCTAGTCTATCGTAAAACGATGATCGGACGAAAAAAAATACTCTTAAACCTTAATCAAATTAATTTGTGAAGAATTTTTTTTTTAATTTTTACATTGTGTTTGAATGTTTTAATAATATTGGTTTTGTTTATTTTCCTTCCAACCTACTAAAACTAATTTGTAACGAATGGTGTGTCAAAAAGTGACTCGCCTATTTTTTGGTAGGAGACTAACAAAATAAAATGTGCCGAGTCATAATTAGACGCACTAACGTTGATTTTCCAATGGTGCACCGAAAATTGACTCACTTTTTTTTATTAACGTATTAATCAAAGGAAATAAGCCTCGAGTCAGATTTAAACGCACCCTCGTTGATTTTCCAGTGGTGCGTCAAAAAATGACTCACCCTCTATATTAAAGAATTGGGTAAAATATCGATGCTGATGTATATTTCGGTGTATTGGTTAAAACAACGATATTCTTGGGTATATCGACGTATTTTATAATATATCGATACTCCTCCTTGGTTTATATCAATGTACTTAATAAAATAGCCTTGTATATCGAACTGTTTTTATAGCAAGTATTTGATAAAATGCGTATTTCGAAGTAAATTTCGATATTACATTGATACTCCTGTGTATATCGACATATTATATATATATAAAGAATTGCGTTGTTTTAACCAATACATCGAAATATACATCAGTATCGATATATTTCGATGTATTGGTTAAAAAACGATATTCTTGGATTTATCGACGTATTTTATAATATATCGATACTTCTCCTTGGTTTATATCAATGTACGTAATAAAATAGCCTTATATAAACTGTTTATACAGCAAAGTATTTGATAAAATCGGTATTTCGAAGTAAATTTTGATATTACATTGATACTCCTGTATATATATATATATATATATATATGTATATAAAGTATTGGGTGAAATATCGAATATCAATAGACCTGTATATATGGAAGTTTTGCGTGAAATATCGTTACTACTGTATATATCGATTTATTTGATAACACTTGTACTTGTAACTTGTATATATCGAAGTATTTGTTGATAAATATTGATACTCTCGTATATATACATCGACATATTCCAGAAAATATCTCTACTCTTATACATACCGAAGAATGAATTTCAATTAAAAATACTACACTGAAGTATATATTTCGATGTATTCCCGTGTAATATATAAACGAAGTATTTTGGTAAAATCTCCGTACGCTTGTATATATCGACGTATTCTGATTATTTCTAGTTCATGTGTTGAAAATCAAACCGATTCCTTTCCATTTCTTCCCGTATGTTTGGTAGCGATCGCGGAATATATACTTATTTTTCAATTAATTAAGGTTTTTAGTTGAGATAAAAAAGTCAGTGTCATGGGCGGGATTCGAACTCACGACCTTCGGCTTGATACGCCGCTACTCTACCACTTGAGCTATCGTGACTTCGATCCACTCGGACACTAACTTCCCATCTCAACCTTTTGAATTTTCCCGCCTTTTTTCATTTTTCAACGATAGCTCAAATGGTAGAGTAGCGGCGTATCTAGCCGAAGGTCGTGAGTTCGAATCCCGCTCGTGACGCTGATTTTTTTTATCTCAACTAAAAACCTTAATTAATTGAAAAATATTAATTGGTCAAGCGGACCACGAAAACTAGTGAATGTATATACTTATTTTTGAACATGTATGTTTTCGTTCTAGGGATGTCGAAACTCTATCCAGATCCTCACGGTTCGAGAAGGCCATATGACCCAAATGTGTTGAGAGGTATGTGCTTGTTTAGAAAGTGTTTTCCAACCCGTTTGCACGTCCGGTCCACCCAACGTAGACGGAGTAGCTTAGACATTATTTTTTGAAATTTTCTGTTGTTGTTTGCTGAAAAAAAATGTTACCCTGATCGTTATAAAACGTAGATTGTTCCAACTGTTCAAAAAGGGGTTGTTGATAAAAGATCGACAGTTAGTTGGGATTCTCAAGGCGTACGCGTTCACCCCTTTGCACATAAAAACCGGATTGAAAATAAAAACATCACTCTTAAGTTGAACAGCGGACGATAAATATAAAAGGGGGCACGCGTCGTCAATAATTCAAAAGAGAGAAGTGTCTTATACCTCATTTGTAACTTTTCGATGGCTGAGGATTAAACCGAAACAAATTCCTTCGTAAAAGGTGTTAATAGAAAACGTTACTGTCAGGTACAGGAGGCGTTTCGGTGGTCTCCGGTCATCCCCCTCCCAGCTCTAATGATCCCAGTCCGACAAGCGTCTACAAGCCACGGCAGGGTTAACTGGCATCATCCGAAGACAGAGCCCGGAGGTCTTGTCGATTCAGCTCGCCGTCCCGTTTGAGAAGTGGCTTTGTTACACTCAGTCAGCGACTAGTCACAATCCCTTGTTAAACCGTTGCCGGGTCCCCAGTTGAATAAACATTAGCCCCCAAGGCGACGGTTACAAAGGAAAACCGTCTTCATTTCAATTCCGTTTGATTTGGCAATATTTCCCCAATGGATGCGATGCACTGCAATGTACACCAGCTTGGATCCTTGTCCTAAGAAAATTCGATTCAGTAATTGCCCTTTGCCAGGTGTTGTTATTTTCATAGGTTGAATAAAGCCTTTAGTTCCGACCGTTTTTTCGTTAATTCGGGAAAGCTTTTAATTTACATTGTAACCCTTATCCTATATACAAATATAGTGACATAGAGATAAATGAAGTGACAAATATACAAATCTTCAAAAATCTGTACTAATCTTATACTTTACCTCTAAAGACTTGAATGAAATAATTACATTTAACGAAAAAAAATAGTAATAAACCAGTTAACATGAGAATGTTCTCTGTTTTTTGTTATTAGATGTCATCCTTCAGCACTGGTGGATGTTCATTGTTTGGCTTAAGGGCTCCCATTTTTCCATCTCTCCTTCCCTTTGTGACGTCACAGTTCATGTTTCTCCAACGGGCGAAAGGGAGGGGAAAAGGGGTCCACCTGTGCCAGAAGTTTGACACCTGTATATAATAACAAAAAAAGAATACATCCTATCAACTGGTTTATTTTCTTTTATTTTCATTAAATGTAATTATTTCATTCAGTTCATTAGTTGTAAAATATATGATTAGGTAAACATGTGTAGACAGATTTTTCAAAATTTATATATTTATCACTCTATTTATTTATGGATAGGATAAGGGCTGACGATGCTTACAAAGTAAGTGAAAAGCTTTCGCGAATAAACTAAAAGAAAAAATAATAAACCAGTTAATATGAAAATGCATTCTGTTTTTTGTTATTATATACAGATATCATCCTTCAGCATTGGTGGATGTTCATTGTTTCCCTTGAGGGCTTCCATTTTTCCATCTCTCCTTCCCTTTGTGACGTCACAGTTCATGTTTCTCCAACGGGTGAAAGGGAGGGGAAAAGGGGTAGTACATCCTTATGTCAACTGGTTTATTTTATTTACGTTAAAGGTTATTATTTAATTCAATTCATTACATGTAAAGTATAAGGTTAAGCAAACATTAGCATACACATTTTTAAAAATTTATATATTTATCACTTTATTAATTTATGTATAAGATTAGGGCTGAAGATGCTTAAGTGAAAAGCCTTCCCGAATAAACTAATAAACAGTTGGAACTAAAGACTTTATTGACATTCAACATACGATAATGTAGTTCCTCCGCAAAAATGGAACAAAGTTTGAAAAAAACGTTAGTTTATTCATTTACCAAAATAATTACATAAGCTGCACCATTATGAAATAATAGAAATGTTGCCCCCTTTGAAAGTTCTTCTGATCTAGAGTTTAGCATATATCGCTTGCACTCAGTAGATTTCTTAGAAAACACTTAGATAATCATCGATAATGTACAAAATCGCTTGAAATAACAATAGAAAATTAAAAGAAAAAAAAATTGCTTTTTTTGTCTTGCTTTTTCAAATTAAAACGGACCAATTATTAAATTTACAATGATATATACAGAATAAATATTTACATATTCTTTACAATCTCATTGGTACAATATAAAGTTACATAACCAAGTTTTTAACAGATCGTTTTCAAAATGAAGACCGACTTTAATTATAAAACTAAATTCAGTTGTTACTGCCAAACTTTCGACCTATTTTGAGGTCATCATCACGGCAAAACATCCTTAAATATATCTACGGAATGACATCGCCACGTTTTTAACAGGTAGTTTTCAAATTGCTTCGAAGACCGATTCGGTACCAACATTGCCAAGGACGAACTATTTATCTATAAAAACAAATTCAATGAATGATTGAAAACCATGTGTTAAAAACTTGATGATGTCATTCTGTAGATATACTTAAGATTGTTTTGCCGTGATGATGACCTCAAAATAGGTCGAAAGCTTGGCAGTAACATTTGAATTTGTTTTTGTCATCAAGACCATACCGAGATTATTAAACAGAATAATTTAGTAAATTAGTTCGGTTGGCTTTGTTCTTTTCAATCTTCTAACCATGTTTTAGTTGGCAGGTGTTTGGTTGTTTCCATCTTCTCTTGCTGTCTGAGACCAGTCTTTATGTATGTCCTTGTTCCGCATGTCCCAAAGTGCATTGACCATGTAAAATTTTATTTTGAAGCAATTAATTAAGGTTTTTAGTTGAGCTAAAAATCAATGGCCACCATCTTCGGCTAGATACGCCGCTGCTCTACCACTTGAGCTATCGTGACCTCGATCCACTCGGACACTAACTTCCCACCTCAACCCCACCTTTCGAGTTCCCCTCCTTGGTTGAGGTGGGAAGTTAGTGTCCGAGTGGATCGAGGTCACGATAGCTCAAGTGGTAGAGCAGCGGCGTATGAGCCGAAGATCGTGGGTTCGAATCCCGCTCGTGCCATTGACTTTTTTATCTCAACTAAAAACCTTAATTAATTGTTATATATTAATTAGTCAAGCGGACCACGGAATTAGTGAATTTATTTTGAAGTATTTGTATTTTGATATTGCTGAATTTGGTACAACCCACAGTTGAGAAATATCACATGTCCATATTGAGTTTAGGACTTGTTTATATAAAAATATTTTATTTCGTCTTTGTCTTATATTTCTGCTTTTTTTCCTTCACATATACAGCTGTACCGCTATGTGTAGAATAGCCGATCGATGGTGAGAGACGGAACATGGTCCAATGTTTTGCCTGACAACTTTGCATGTGGAGATTTATGCTGATTGAGCCTGATTCTCCATTTTTGTCAATTTATTTACCTTGTAACACGCCTTTTGAAGTATGGTGAATGATATCTGCATACATTGCAATTTTTACTCCACCAATATTTGAAAAATTGTTAATGGTCAAGTAAACTATAGGATCTAGTATGCTACTTTGTGGCATTTATTGTTTTTATTTGGTAATATTGGTTTTTTGTTTGATTTCTTATATTTGGTCAGGTAGGAACAGATATCTACATACTGCTATGCTTGGTGGCAAGCATAAGGTTTCTTGATGAGTCCTCTATGGCTTGCCAAAAGCTTGTTAGACAGCAAGGATGATGGCAGAACAATTTTTTTAGAGTGATTTTTCTATTACATGTCGACGCATTTGGTAAATCGTTGAATGTCTTGTTCGAAATGGAATTCTCTATAACATATCTTAACAGCATACCAAAAACGTCTATTTTACTGGTAGATCCTGGTATATCGATGTATGGTATTTGGAGTTGATTTTTTAATTGACACTATTTTATAATATTTATATGTTGTAATGCTTTTGTACAACGAATGACAGTGAAACATAGGCGTTACAGTGGAAAATGTATGCAATATCTAAAAAACCGCACGTGCATCGTGACATCTCGCAAACTAATCCAACACGTCGCATAATTGTTATTGAAATTTAATAAATTGTTGTTTTCATTCACATCGTTGTTAGTCGTTTCGGTGAGATTTTACAGTTGAAAGCTTGATCTTTTGTTTGAAGTGAGCTAATGTTAATTTAATTAAACCGGAACCATTTAACGGTCCATGGTCGCGTATATCACCAATGCCACGGGATGGGTATGCTCAACTAAATCTGCCGACAAGAATTATCATTTTACGGTTTGGACTGGTGCAAAACCGTAGGTCTCCTTTAAAACGGCAGGTGATCCTTTTCCTTTCGCGCTTTTTGGGTTTTTCTTTGTGGAAATCCTCCTGCTATAAAAAGACCGTCGTCAAAGGCAACTTTGAACGATGCCTAGAGTATTTATTGTACATAATCTTCTAAGATATCAGCCAGAAGATGAGAGCCTTCGAACTGAGTGATATTGCCGCCCGGTCCTATTACCACAGCACCCACCTGCTCTTATATTGCCTCGGCTATGCCCACCTCATCACACCTACCGGCTGAATTTTTATTTGGCAATCTCAAATATACCACTTTATTACTTCTTCGAGTATTTTCCTTTTCCACGGCCGTTTATTCACACGGTTGGCAATATATTTTTGAAAAGACGAGGCCTAGAGATTTCTTTTCTAAAGATATATGAAGTCCCCTAAGTTGCCTTTTCCTTGACCTAGGAACACGGGCATCTGTCTACGATAACTAACTTTTTCGCCCAGCAATAAGTCTATACATAAACACAAAAAAACTTGATTACTGTCAACATCAATTTCATATAAAGAAATATATATATATATATATATACACATACATATATAGTAAGTGCTAATATTTATAATGAATAACGAAATCGCTGTTTTTGATTAGTTGTGCAAGGGTATTGTCATATCGATTTATTGTAATTGATATTTGTGCAT